TGCAAATGTGAGGGGTGGTGGAGGTGGCAGTGATGGTGGAGGTGGTGGTGGTCCTGATGGTGACAAAGGTAGTGGTGATGATTCAAGGGCTCAACAACCATTTATTGGGCACCTACTGTATGTCAGCAGTTAACTACATTTCACTGCTATTATCACTCTTCTTTCATTTCCTTCTTTAATCCGTATTATTGAGTATTCCCTGGGGACTGTGTTGAGCATACACCATGTTGTCTCTTGCTCAAGATACCTACTGTCCAGCAAGAGATCATTGCAGTGCAAAAGACTGAGTTCTGCCATGGGAGAGTATACAATGCTGGGGCAGCAGGGTGGACTGGGGCGGGCTTCTCTGAGGTCTTGTTGGTTAAGCTGGAATACTATAGGCCTACAGTAGGAAAAGACATTCCAGAAAAAAGGAATAGTATGTGAAAGGAGTAGAAGAGAAGACAGGGGTCCAAGTGGTGGCAGCCTGGGGACAGGGACTCCTTGGGGACCATGTGTTTGCTACCTACCCCCTTATTCGGGGCACTGCTCTTCTCTGCTCCAGTCATATGGATGGCTACACATCATCCTAACCACCCAGGCTTAATGCTGGATCACCCAATATGGATCCGTTAGAGTCACCTAGAGCATCGCTCCTGGAAATGGAAATGGAGACCCCTCATGCCCTATCTGCGTATGAGCCCTCAGGATGCCAAGCAGGGCTTGTTGTGCTGTCTGCTTTCAGGAAGAGTTGGAAATAAAGTGCTGATACTCAGGGAGAGCAGGGTTGAGAAAGGAGGGAGAACATCCTGCTGCTGCTGTCAGAGTCTGAGTCAGGTCTTCCTGGAGCCCAGATCCATCCAGACCTGGTCAAGGGGCTCAGTGCACTGGACTCTGGCCTGCTGGGAGACATCGGGGGATTGGGTTGAAGGGGCCCCAGGAGACAGAGCAGGAAGTGTCAGGAGAAGGCGCTTTGGTGCCATCCTGAGGGCAGTGAGGAGGCATGGGAGGAGGGCCTTAGTGAGGAGGAGACATGGTCAGACTGCGGTTCAGAAAGGCCACTCTGGACTGATGAGCAGGACTTATGGGAGGTGGGGAGGCTGAACTCTCATCCACCCAGATACCATGGGGTAGGGGAGCCTGAGCCTCCCAGTTAGGCCCTGAGGGTTCCAATCCCTGCCCAGACTCCCAGTTGTTATTCCATTTTGGGCAAGTTGTGTGCACTCTGATTTAGGATAAAGACAGGGCTGGGGAGAGAAATCAGGTTTTAGGTAGCTATTAAACCAGCCTGGAGCTGGGGGGCCAGAGACCCAGGTTCTAATTCTGGAAGTCTGAGAAAACTTTCCTATTCACAGAAACCCACACCAGCCCAACCCCCTTCCAACCTCAGCCACCTACAGCATTTTCTCTTCATCCTCCATGAACTGACTCCAGAGGAGGAGAAGGCAGGCAGGGACATCTTCCAGGGACCAGACTTGCTGAGCCAGCTCTAGAGAGAGATGCCATTGTCCCCAGTGGGGCCCCAGGCCTTCCCTCACCTCCGGGCCGGCTCCAAACCACAAGCCACCTTCTGTTTCTCAGAAATACTGCCATTTCCCAGAGCCCAGCTTTCTTGGGGGATGGGAGGAGGTGGCTTCACAACTGCCTTAGGAAAAGGAAGAGGAAGCACTCCAAGGAAACCTGGAGGCCAAGCCTGGCATCATAATAGGATGATCCAGTTTGGGGGCTAAGAGGCTAACTGGGAAGGTCAAGTGGAGTAGGGGCTCTGAGCCCAGATTTGCTGCACCTGCCCCAGGGTAGGACCTAGCCCCTCCAGTGTTCCAGGATCCATAAGAAAGTGCCTCGGTTGGAATGCAAGTCCATTTACCATTGTGTGATCTGGGTTGATCACTGAGCCTTGACTTCCTCACCTCTTTGACCTGGTTAACAGTCCCCTCCTCACTGGGTTGTCCTAGGGAGCAGATGAGACATGGACTTGAATATGTGTTATTTACTAGGCCAGGCATGGGGGAGTCACTGGCTACCAGGCAGAATAGCAGAACTATAGGACTCCCTGCTAGAGCCTTGGGGAGCCCCAGAAGGAGCAAGCTGGGCAACACTAGATACCACTTGCCCTTCTCCTTCATCACCCTCATGAGCGTTGATCCAGGGTTCCGCAGCAAGTTTGTGACCCAAGGAAGAATGGATTTTAGCTTATTCCTGAACCTGTCTTCCTCCAGCCTCACTCCTGTTTCTCCTCTTTTTCCCTCTCCCTGGATCTTCTCATCACCAAGAATGACTTGAGTCTCTCCCATCCAAAACCCCTCTTCCATTCCATGTGCAGGACCAGCCACTCTCCTGCCTCTCTCCTTTATCGCCAAATCTGTTAAAAGATTTGTGTGTTTCTTCACTTCTCAGATACCACATTAGCTCTCCCCCAAATTCAGCTTCCACCATTCAGCCCTCCTGACACTGCTGATTGCTGTGATCACCAGAGTATCTTTGTCCCCACAGAGGGTACTTTCTGGTCTCACTTATCAAGCTTCTCTGCCCCAGCCAACTGCTTTCCCTCTGGCCTCCATTGTCCTTCCCTTGCTGATGTTCCAGTGGTCCCCCTCTTTTACTTCCACAATCTCTTGGGGTATGGTCTCCCCTCTTCTGGCTTTCCTCACCACTTATAGGCCAATAGCTTCCAACTCCTTACCTCTAGCCATCCTTCTCTCCTGACCCATAATATACCCAAAGGGGGGCTATAGCTAGCTTCTGAAGTCTCTCTCTCTCTCCCCTGCTCCCCCCACCCCCAAACCTACATCTAGTCAGTTGTCCATTCTGCCTTCCATGGTCATCCCTCAGTGGATTCCTACAATAGCTCCTCCCTGGTCTCAGCCTTGTTACACCAGTCCATTCTTCAGCAGCTGACAAAGCCAGCTTCCTAGTTCACAGATCTAACCCCAGCACTGAAGCTTTGCCAGGGTTCCTTGGGGCAAAGTCAGAACCTCTCAGCTGAACAGGCAGCCTCATCTTCCTTTGCTCATTACCTCAAACTATTGTCCAACAACAATGAGCTTTCATCTTCTACCAAGTTTTCTCTTTCTATGCCATCACCCACTCTCCTCTCTCTCTCCCTCTACCTTTTTTCCTACCTCTTCCCCACCCTTCAGAGCACACATAAGTGTCTTCAGACTAGATTGGAGGCTGTGCAACTACAGTCTCTGTCACTGCCACTCTTGGTACTCAGGTGTTGTGATTCCTGTCCCCTCCTCCTCCTCAGTATACCCCTAGGATAGGAGGGACAATACTGGTTTTTTGTTCTGTGTTGGTAGTCTAGCATAAAGCCTACCCTACAGCAGCTCAGAAAATGTTTCATAAGTGAATAATAGAAGGAAAAGACAGCAACTTGGAGTGGTGCGAAACCATGGTAGAGTGGCTTGGATTCACATGGTAAGCCTTGTGTGACACACTCAGAAAATTGTGGACTTTAGAAAGGAGGGGTTCAAGTATTGAACTTGGCCCCCACGGAGAAATAGATTTGGTGTTGCACATCATAGGGTTCAGATAAGCCCGTCAAAGAAACCAGAAGGGCAGTTCAGCGTGCAATAACAAGAAAAGTGTGCAGGGAGTTCCGTTCCTATCTGAGCCTCTAGAGCTGCCTCTGATTGCAGAGCCCTGCCTCCAGCCCTATTCTCCATCAGGGCTGGAGGCTACAGTAGGGGAGGCAAGAGTAGCCTCCCTGAGAAGACATCAGAACTAGCTTAAAAGATGGACAGAGCTCACCTCGTGAGTGGCTGGGTTTGTAACGTCCTGGGCTGCTTTAACAATAGTCTGCTCAGAACCCATCCCAGAGTTCCAAGTTCAGCCCCAGTGGTGAGCAAGCCTGGCCAAAATGACGAGTCTCCTTGAAGACAGGTAGAGACTGTGAGGGGAAATTTTCTGACCTGGAACAAGGAGGAGTTCCTAGCCAAGCTCCTCAAACCCCAGATTCTGAAATCGCCACTTGCTCTGAGTTGGCAAGGGAGTTTGAGCAGGGTGACAGCCATCCCTACTAAGTGAGGGAGGCATTGGTGGAAGGCTCAGCAGACTTCCCTAACTGCAGGAACCCTGAATGGGAGACCAAGGATATGAAGACAGCAGCCAGGGCCCACTAAATGGCTACATAAGCCCCGATCCACCATTTCTCTGGAGGTCCCAATGGGCCTGGGCAGGGAGGGATGGGGAGCCAGGGCTGCAGAGAGCTGAGACTAGCTGTCTTGAGAGATCTCAAGGAAGACAGAAGGCCTGGGTTCTGGTCCTACCTCATTGCTCATCACTGTGAGGTTTTGGGGAAGACATCTGCCCTTCTTGAGCCTCCAAACACTCTAAAAAGGTTGTCCGCCCTCAGTGAAATCATGGGCCTTCAAATATCGTTGATATCATATGAATTGTTGATTTGTCTTTAATTGTGTTAGGCCTTCTAGGCTTGTGGGCCAATGGTAATCTGATTGACTCTTGGAACCCTCCCAGAGGTGAGGATGTTTGGGTGTCTTAACACTGGTTGTTGTGTGGAACTGGGGAAAGATGTGAGCCTACAGCCAAGAACCCTGTCTTATAGCTCCAGCTCTGCTACTAACCAGTTCTGTGCCTTCAGGCAGATGACTTCTTAGCTTCTCCACAAACTCAGTGTCTTTGCGTGAAGTGGCTGACCATGGTGAGGGCCCTTGGCAAAATCCTTAGAGGTCACCACCCTCTTGGCTAACTAGAATTAGTCGCCCTTCCTAGGTTTAGTGCCACAGAGTCATGGGAGATGGGCTGCCCATAAAAGCAGGAACTGTCATACTGCAGGCTTGGGGACAGAAGCAGTGCAGAGCAGAGAACAAGGGCCTGGGTGGGGAGGCCTCAGGAACTATCCCTTGCTCTAGTGACAACTTCTATGAGGACTGGAGCCAACCTCTGTCCCTTCTGGATCTATCTCTACCCTATGTAATGGGGATAGCTGGGCCACCTTGCAAAATCCCTGAGGAAGCAGGCAGGAGACCAGATGTGAATGCAGCAGGCAGGGCTAGGAATAATGCAACTTATTTATTAATATATAATAACAAAAATGATAAAGCTCATATCTGCAACTGTTTAGGTATTTGTTACAAGGTCTTGGTCGCTTTGTCTGGACTGGCTGTGACCTTCAGCTCTGGAGTCTGGGCTAGGAAGATGGTCCAGTGACCTGCATGGAAGGAGGAAGAAGAGAAGGATGTGTGTGGGGGTATGTGTGTGAGTAAGATGTACACAGCAATGGCAGTGAATGGGAAAAGCTCAGGACAGGAGGAACTGTGTGAACCAGGGCTTGGAGCCCATGGGGGAGAGGCAAGTGTCCCCAGGTTACAGTTGTGGTGCATGACCCAGCTTTCCTGATCCCTGTGGGTAATGCTCCTACCTGTGACCTGCCCTCCTCCACCCGAAGTCCCACCCAGGTCCATCTTCCTATGAGTAATGAAGAACAGATTAAAAGTACTGAGGAAAGTGGTTAGGAGGGTTTCACAGAGGAATATTCCAGTAGCAAGTAAGCAGGCAGCACCAGGGCTGGGGGTCTCAGATCTGCCCCAACAGCCCTATCTCCCCCCAGTCACAAGGCCAACCAGTAGTTCTGTTTCACCTTCCCTCTCCTGCTGGCGGTTGGGAAATCTCTGGCCCTGCCACCCACTGGATTCCTGTGCTGGGAACTGACGTCTGTAGTTGACCACCCCCCTCCCGACAGCCCCTCCTCCTGGCAGCAGCAGCCTGGGAACTCCCGCCTCAGACCCTGCTCTCCTCCCAGGCCCCATGCTCAGCCCAAGGTCCCACCTTCGTGGGTGCCAGTAAGCAGCCGGAAGTTTTGTGCCTCTTTCTGGAAGTCTTGCTTCCTGACTTTCTTGATCTGAATCAAGTGGAAGATTCCTGAGGACAGAGACAAGGGTATGAGCAGGAAAGGCAGGACCCTGTGGTCCCATGGACAGGGCATCTTAAGCTCAGAACTGACCCAGCCACCTCCCTCCCCTGGCTCGGTTCTGAGCTGTTCTAGCCCACTGCTACTGTCCTTACTCAGACCCCTGCCTGGGTCACTACACAGAGTCCCACCCCCTTTTATTCCCTCTCTAAACCCTACTCCTCAGGGTGGTCATCTGAAATGTACTTGTTACCCTGTCATTCCCCTTCCTTGATCTCCCATTACCTCAACAATAAAGCCACACCCTGTAGTCTCTTTTCCCTATTGACACTGCTCCTGTCACCAGCGCCATCTGCTCTCACACAGTTCACCTCCCACGGTGCAGGAAGGGAGGGAAGAAGGCTAGTGGTGGCTCATATGGACAAGTTCATCTTTTCTCTGGGCATGGCATGTATGATAAGAATACCAGGTGCTTAGTCAGACAGCAAAGAACTTGGAGTTGTGGTGCCTTGCCTGTGGTCCTACTCTAATCTTGAGGTTCCCTGAGGGGGGCCACAGCTTTACAAACACCAGCCCCTTTGCTGGAAGATCTGCTATTGCCTTCTACTGCTACTGTGGCCACCAAGTCATAGCTGGGACGTCTTCCCTGACCCACCCCCTGAGGAGTTACAACTGCCTTCTGGGGCCCCCACAGCACTTGGCTTCTGCTTGTCATTGTACCCATTTCTAAGGCTATTGTTATGTCTACTCTTGCCTCTCCCACCAGACTTGGGACTCCTGGAGAGCTTCCATTCTGGGCTCTGAGTTTGGCCCACATTAGGCATGTAGAATAAACGAATCCCTGGAGAGATGGATGGAAGGACAGACAAATCTATCTAGATGTACCCCATCTAGGTGAGACCCTGAGGAGGAATGAAGTATTAGCTGAAATCCCTGATGTTTGCATCACACAGGGAGCTGGCCACTGGCACAACACATGGCACTGAGGTCCTGAGCACATGGACTGTGAGGTTGCACCAGCTGTTACCCACCCAGGCCTTTGGCCAGAAAGAACAGATGCAACTAACAGGGCCTCAGCTAGGCCAGCACCTCCTTCAAGAACCAAGAACCAGACATGCATAAGGGAATCAGAGTGGGACCCCACCAAGGGAAACAGAAAACATGGGTCCTGGGACTGAGTTTCAGGGATTAAGAAATACCAGCACTGTCTTTGGAACCCCCAGCACAGATGCAAATGACCAGCACCTACCTCCAAAGGCCCAGGAGCTACAGCAGAGGGGCAAGCAAGAAGCATAAACTGAGATGGGGACAGGTCCTTACACACAGGCCTGTTACTACACACACATAGGAAAATGGGAGAACAGGTGGCAGGGATGAGGGCAGGTCCCCACACTATAGTCTGTGAGGCACAATGGCAAGACTAGGGCTCTTTAGCCCGAATAAAGATCTAGCCTGAGGGTCATGGTTGTGCCAGTTGCCCTGTGAAGGCAGTTGGGCCCTGTGGCCCTCCAGGTGCATGAGTTCCTGGGAGCAGAACAGGTTCAGCCCATTGTCAAGATGAATGTCTCTGGACTGAGTCATTCAGGGCTGGGAGTGAGGCACCTGCTGAGGAGGTGGATACAGGCAGGGACCAGAGACCAGGAGGCTGCAGGGGTCTTTCTTTCTGACAAGGCTTGGAATTGAGACTACCCTGAAACTCCAGAATCTAGAGCCCCTAACCCTAAGGCACTCTGCTTTGATTCTGGTTCCCACAGCTGGTCCCTCTGTAGTGTGGCCTCACATGGTTCGGATTTAGCATCTACTGCTCACTTTGTCACACACACCGCCACCACTACCAAGGGAGGAAGTAGTGAGTGGTATCCCCTGACAAAGCGCCCTAGGAGTGTTTGTGTTGACTCCTCCAGCCTGGGGGTCAGCAGAAGAGGCAGGTGAAGTGAGTTAACACTCTCCATACTCCACCTCACTTCTGCTGGACCTGGCGGTGATGAGACTGGCAGTAAGCTATCCTCTCTTTCATCCTGGCAGCCTCTTCCATTCTCCTATTCCATCCTGGCACTCCTTGGCCTTCTTCAGTCACCTCCCTAAAAGCATAAGACACCCCTTGTGGAGGTGGCACTGGGAACAGTCAGACCTGGCTTGGAATCTGATTTACTGTTCAAACTGTGTGACTTTGAGCAAGTCATTTGACCTCTCCAACTTGGTTTTCTCATCTGCAAAATGGGACACTGATACAGAGCCCTTGGGTTTCTCGTAAGAATTAAATGATGCACATTATACAGAGTGCCTGCTTTATATCCATCTCAGGGCTCAGGGCAGATGATCATGAGCTCTGAAGCCAGAGCTTGAGGTTGCCACTGCCATCCTTTCTGCTCCCATGCCTCTCTGAATCCCTCTGGCCTCCCTAATATATGGAGTCCCATCCTGCACAACACTTTCCTGAATAGCTCAGCTTCCTGGAAGCTCCCGCTGTACTATCACTGACCCCTGAGTTCCTGAGCACAGAGCCCGGGTTTACCATTTTCTGCTGCTCAGCACCTGCTTAGCGGGTGAGGGATAAGGGAGGCCAGAGTAAACCTGTGGCCAACTCCAGTCCAGGGGCTCAAACAGAATCCTAGGGCTCAAACCCATGGTAAAAGTTCCTGACTGTAACTCTCCATTTCCAGTCCAGTCCTCGTTCACACACTTTCTGTGAATGGAGCTCGCTCCCTTCTTTCCACTCCAGGAAGGCTCCAAGTATGAGTTTCCACTGCCTCTCTGCAAAATTCTAACCAACCCACGTGGTAGGAGGAGGATACTGACATTTTTAGTGCCTTCTGCAGATCAGGGGCTGTCCCTAAGTCATTTAATTTAATCCTCCAAAACTCCTCTTCCCCAATCACAAGAGAACACTGAGGCCCAGAGAGGTCAAGTGATCACCCAAAGTCACACAGCTAAGGAAGAGCAGAGCCAGGATTCGAAGCAGCAGAGTTGGGGTTCAAATCCTGGTCTGCCTGATTCCAAAGCCCCTGCTTATGGCCTGACCCTTGCAATTACTCAGAACATGGCTGTTCCCTCTGCCTGAGCAGCCCTTCAGAGCCATGAAGCCAGCAGTCCTGGCCCCCCTGAGTCTTCTCTTCTCCAGGCTGAACAGCTCCACTTTCTTCGTCCATTCCTCCTACGACAGGGGGCAGAGTAGAGCAGGGGAAGAGCCGCATCTGACGTCACAAGACATGGGCTCTAAGCTCCCGTCCTCCACTTACTGGCTGTGTGGCCTTGGGCCAGGTACTTCACCTCTCTGAGCCTCAGTTTCCTCATCTGTAAAATGGGGATAATAATACCTAACTCTCAGGATCGTTGAGGATCAAATGAGACAGTGAATGTGGAAGCACTTTGTAAACACTAAAGTGCTTCACACATTGGTTTTCATTCTCAGTGTTAACACTCTTATCATCATTCTCTCTTCCTCTTCCACCCCCAACCCCAGCCAAACCCACCAGTGACCTTATTGCTAATTTGCACGGAGAGTTTAGTTTGGATCATGGCTTAATGTTTAACTCTACCCAAGGGACTTATGTTCTACAAGAAGAGGCACAAAACCAATCCCTTTATCAATGATATGAGTAGCCTGGTGAACAGGGCAAGTTTCTGGAAGAATAAGAAATACACTAGAGTGATGGGATTCACCACTGAGAAAATGCCAAGTAAAACTAGACTCAAGGCCTCCTGCTGTGGGGATGATGTGAGGGCCTCCTGCGCTCCACTATGGGGTGCTGAGCTCCTCACGTTAGACAGAGAAAGATTTCATCAGGGTTGGGTTGTGCAGGGTGCAGTAACCCCTTGCTCCCAGGAGAGGGAGCACTTGGAGGCCTTGGCATCTCAGCTAGTGAGCTTATCAGAACCGTCAAAGGAACCAGTCTCCCCACATCCTGGAACCGGGGACTCTGGCTACACTTGAAAGCATGGCCAGAGGCACATGATCAACAAAACATCCCGAAGGCCCCTATGGGGTCCTAGAACAAGAAGGGGAACAGGCCAGAGGTACAGTCGGCTGGGAGCAGGCAGGCCACTTACCTTTTACCAACTTCCAGAGGTAGATCTCCACCTGGTCAGAGGCCTCATGCTCAAGGGCAAAGCGGTGCAGGCTGTCTGGGCTTGGGGAAACTGACGTGTGAACGAGGACCCGGCCAGGCACTTTAGGACACCTGGTGGGACTGATCTCACTGTGGGCAGTGTCGGCCTTGTCCTCTGGGAGAGACAAGAAATGGCTGTTCTTCTTGAAAGTTCTAATGGTCTAAGATTTTTTTGGGGGGTGTGGGGACAGCACTGGGGTTTGAACTCAGGGCTTCACGCTCGCGAGGCAGGCATTTTACCACTCCTCCAAACCATGGTCTAAGATTTTATGACTCGTGGAGTCCAGAACATTATTTGATTCTACATCTGTGTCAAGCACTGCTGAGTATATTACTGTAATGTTAGATGGTTCCATTAAAGTCTGACATTTTCCACCCTTATGCTTCTGACAGTTTGTGTGTCTGTACACCCTGTGTCCTACGCTCCAGGTCAGAGAGGTTCCAAGGGCCTGTGGCGCTGGGCAAAGACCCAGGGCTTGCTCTGGCCAGTGCCCTCCCTGCCCCCAGCACCTCCTCATACCTGGGCAAATCTTGCAGCATTTCCCTGCCACTTTCTCTGGGTGGTGGCAGGGGTACTCGGTGGGGCAGGTCACACGCTGGCAGTCCTGGTAGCCATCCTGGCAAGTGCACAGGATGCAGGGCAGGGGGCCGAAGGAGCGGAAGGCCGGGTGCCACACCTCACCGTGCGAGTATGTCTTCCCCCCATGCACGCAGGCTGGAGCAAGGAGGGCAGGAAGGGAGGAGGCTCAGAACCTCGGTCCTGGCCAGTGTCTCTGGTCCTCAAGGACCCCACCCCGAGTCTGTCCCAACCATACTGCCTGCAAAGTGTATACCAGGATATAAAACCTGTCCCATGTCCCTGACATCTCTCATCTCAGCACCTGATAGGCACTTGCTAAAGATGGAGATTCCTCCCTGGCCTTGCTGGGGCAAGGGGAGTGCTGGCCTGGTAGTAGAAGCACTGAGATCAATGTGGTGGTGTGACCTCTAGCAGTTCTCATTCCCTTCTTGTGCCTCAGTGTACAACAGGGCAGAATTCAGTAGCCTCATGGCCCCTTCCCTCTCCACCAGCTGGGGAGCTCTGCAGAGAGACCCTGTTCCCGCCCCCCTTCTGCATCACCACTTCCCCCACTCCAACTCTACCATCCTCCTGCAGCCCAGCTCTGCTCCCTCCTTCCTTTGTTAAATTACCCCTCAGCACCACCTCATATTGAAGTACCTTATTCATGTCTCCTAAACTAATCTGTAAACCCCTTGAGCACAGAGGGCAGAGGGCAGAGGCCATTCTTCTTCTCTCTGTTTTTGTGTTTGTTCTGTTTTGAGGTGGGGTCTCCCTCTGTAGCTCAGGTTGCCTGGAACTCACAATCCTGCCTCAGCCTCCCAAGTGCCGGGATTATACACTTGACTCATCTCTCTGTTCTGTCTCCCTCATTTCCCAGAAAAGGCATGAAAAATGCTCAAAAAAACAAACATACTATTACGTGGGAGGTTGAGGCAGGAGAATCTTGAGTTCAAACCCAGCCTGGGCTACGTAGAGACCTTATCTCAAAACAAAACAACAAGGAAAACTAATATACTGTTCCAGTACTGGTTTGTCTCTGACTCGGTGCTCTGCACCTCAGGGTCCCCTGCTGTCAAATGAAGGTTAGACTCCATGACCCTCAATGGCACTTCCAGTTTTGCTAGTTTATAAGCTCAAGGTCAAGTGGAGACTGGGGAGCCAGAAAAGGGGGCTCAAGAGGTGGAAGCACTTGGGCACCCCTTCCTGACCAACAGGATGGAGGAGGATCTGGTCCGCACCTTTCTTATGTTTCTCCTTCAGGACAATCTTCACAGTCGTGCTGCCTGCACTCTTGGGTCGGAAGTGGCGAGGGATGAAGCCCAGAGGAGAGCTGAGGCCAGTGGGGGCTGGGGTACCTGGGCCTCTCCTCCCACCATCACCCGAACACGGATCCTGGGAACGTCTCTGCAAATGGGGCAGGAAAGGTGCCGATCACTGACTATGACAGGCCATTGCTGTTGGCAGAGCCACAAGCCAGGCCACGGGGAGAAGCTTGAGGGTGGATACCAGCAGACTGCCCGTGAAGAGAGGGCACAGGCTCTGGAAAGAACCATCTAGATGGTGGGTCTAAGATATTCTCAGACTGTGGAGAATAGTGATTTGGAAATCCAGCCTCCAGCAAACCCTTCTCAGGCCTTGTCAGAAGTGAGGCCTTAGGGCTAGGGTGTGCAGAGGGTACTGAGGTGTTGATCTGGGAGACATAGCTGGTCAGGGATATGGAGAGCTTAATGTTTAAGAAGAATTAGGTGGTGGGATAAGGCTCTGAACGAATTCAGGCCCCAGAATTCCACAGGGCAAGAAGATTAAGAACAGGCCCACTCAAAGACAAAGGGTCTTCAGAGCTCAGGCCTCTCTCCTGAACCCCTAGAATCTGAGATCCCACCCCTTCAGACTAGGTCTTGAGAGACCTAGCAGTGATGGCAAAGACTGGGGGTGAGAGCAGCTTAGGGGACAGGAGCTCATCAGCTCATTTTTGGGTTGAGTAGCTCCTGGCATGGAAGAAGAATGAGTAGACTGGGGGCAGGGATCAGAGCCTAGCCCCTCCCTCGCTGACCCAGAGTCTTCTTCAGCCCATTCCTACCCCATGCAGTCTTGAGCCTGTTCTTTCCTAGCCCAGAGACAAGCACATAAGAGCTCCCTGAGTGGAAATTGTCCCAGGTTCTAGCTCAGGCCGACACACAGGAAGCTCCCAGGAAATGCTGATCAAGTGGAATTGGAACAAGAAGGACCCCCAAGCCTTAAATTGTGACCTGCCCAAGTCATCCAGCAAGTCCGTAAGTAGCTGGTCAGGGCCTGGCACTAAGTCTAGTGGCTTCTCATACACACTGCCTCCTAGGGAGAGGGTGGAAAGTAAGGGGATAGAGTGGCTCAGGTCCCTTGGCAGAGGCCCAACCGAGATGTCCTAGTGGATGAGAGGACACGAACTTACATCATTGGAAATCTCTGGGAAGAGGATCCCAACTGGGCTCAGGGAAGCCAGGATGAAAAGGGGAGGAGTCTTTACATTGTAGATAAGGCACAGAGGACCAACGACGGACCTGAGTCAGCGTTCAGGTCCATGGGCCCCTCAGTCCACAGGGAGGTGGGCAATTCAGCCCATCTGAGCTTTGAACAAAGCTGAGAGGGGCCAAGATAGAGAGGGGAATAGACAGGCAGAACCAAGACAAAGAATCAGTACCCCAGGAACTGTGTGGGGAAGCATGGCCCAAGCCAGAGGCCATTCCCCCAGGAGAATGTGCTTTGGAGGTGGCCTGGTGTGAGCACAGACACAGGTTCTGGATAGAACAGAGTCAAAGAGATTCCCAAGAGGGAAACAGAAAGTTTGAGGCTTGCTCCTACCCTGGGTAGCAAACTGTTTTCTTTGTGGCCCATGGGTCATGATATGAACCATGATGGCATGCTATGGAGAGGAGCTGAAAAATAAAGGGGGTGGGGGCCTAATTTAGATGACCCAAGGGACAAGTGAGAAATGAGGACAATAACTGGAATTACCTGCCCCAGAGTCATGCAGATTTCAGTCCTGGACACAGAAGCCTTTCTCCCCACCCTGTCTATACAACTTCATACTCACCGCCCCATGGTGTGACTGCACGGTGTCTTCTTCCGCTGACTTCTCATTTGCCCCATCTGAAAGCTCAGAAGGAGGCTGGGTCAGCCTTAGCCTCCTCAGCCTTGTAGCTATGGCCCTAGAGTGCCCCTTCCAAAGTTTAGTGCTGCTTCTGTGGCCCCAGTAGGAACTCATTCTCACTTTTCACTACAGCCTGACCTTCTCCTGTTGGGATGATGAAGTCCTCACAGCTGCTTGCTTTCTTGGTTTCCCCACACTGACTTTCTGGACACTGTTAGGACTAAACTATTTGGCTAGGTCAGAGCATCTTGCTTAGTATTTATTTAAAAGGCACCGCTGGGACACCAGGCCATCCCTCAGTGCCCATGATGGATGACCCAAGAGCTCAGAATCCCATTTCTGCAGCCAGCTTAGTAGTGGTTCTCTGGGCAGCCACTCTACCCAGTTCCACGTGAAGCCACTATGACTTGGTTTTCACTACACACCCAGGCCCTACTCTCCAGACTCCCTGCCCTTCTGTGTGAGCACCCCAGGCCTTTCCCAGCCGCCACTCCCCTGGGGAACAAGCTCTAGTTTCCTAAAGCCCTGAGTGTTGCCCTCTCCTAAGTCCCTATTTCACTACACTGGCTCCCACACTCCTGCTTCAAAGATGCAGAACACTGGAATTAATTAGGCTATGGCTGGAAACCACTGGGGTTCATCCCCCAGTGTACACTGATGCCCAGAGAAGGCAAGGAATTTGTGGCATTAGCTATAAGAAATAAGACAACTGGAGTCAGGTGCGCCTTGTAGAATGCCAACTTCTGGGAACGCATTCCACTCTGGAGCAGCCCCAACCTGAGTACTGCCTCTTCCAGGAAGCTTTCCTTGACTGCCCCAGATCAAGCCCTGCCTAGCCTTCCCTAGCTCCTGTGCTGGCCTCTCTTTCACTCAGAGATTCTACCTGGATTTCTGCTTGCCAGCCAGGTTTCAAGCCCAGGTGATCTCAATCCTGTGCCCAGTTCTGCCATGATGAAAACTGAAGAAGCCATAGTCCCAGTCTGTGTAGTTCCCTCTCACGTGTCACTTTGCTCTTAGCAGCCTCATCTGATTGGGCAGCAGTGCCCCTTCTGCTCCAGCCAACTTATAGTCCTCAGCTTCAAGCTAGCAGCACCTCCTGTCCATATCCTCTGCCCCACTTCTTAACCCCCCCCCCTCCTACCAGATGCTCCCAAGGCGATCCAGTACAGCATGATGGGAGAGTGCAAGGGACTTAACACCCTCAGGAGTGGGTGTTAGTAAATGGGAATTAGTGAGTGGATAAATTCTTCCTTCCTCCACTCCTACCTCTATCTAGTCTTTCCTGAAAAGAAGATTACTCAGAGTATGGGTAGCAGTTGGTCACCAAGCAGAGGTGGCTCCCAAACAGGTTCCTGCATTGCTTCTTTCCTGCCTCACTCCCCTTCCCCTTCCACCTGCCTCCTGATATTGTAGTAGGACATAGGTGGCATAGCAGTTTCTGGGGGACGGGAGGGTGGGAATCCCAGGCTAAGCCACCACTGCCCCGGAGGAATGAATAGTGCTACATGCTAGCTGTCTCTGGGGCTCCTTCCAGCCCTAACAGACAGTCCGTGGCAGGACTGAGTGAGTGGAGGCTGGGGGACCAGCAGACCTAGGGACACACTTACCTTTGCAGACCTGGCAGCAGGAGTCGGGCAGTGGGAGGGGTGCAGGGCAGCCGGGTTCAGGGCAGGTCATGAGGCCACAGTAGATCTGGCCCTCCTGATGGACAGAAAATGGGGGCTGGGAATGATCCCTGATGACCAACCTTGGGGGTTAGGAGAGCCCCCTTCCCAGGAAGCAAATGCCTGGAGTTCTCACCTGAGGTAGGGTGGCACAAGGCTCAGAGGCAGTCCCCGGTACCCTCCCACTCCCACTCCAGGCCCTGAAGGTAATTTCACAGTCAGTCCACCCCAGGCTCTCACAGCAGCCTGTGAGGGGGGATTCTGCCCACCACACAGATGAGGGGAGCCCTGAGAGGCCCTTGTCATCAACTTACAGGGGCAGTTTTGGCAGTATGGACAGAGCCCATCTTCTGGCTTTTTCTACTGAAATCAACATTCTTCTCTCCTGGCCCAGAACAGGGCTTAGCATGGGCAGGAGCTGGATGGGTGACACCTGGACTTACTTTACTCTTGCTAAAAGCCCTTGGCCTCCAACTACAAGACCCAGCCTCAAAAGACAGAACAACAGGGGACGGGGCCTTCTGGGAGGTAGGGGCCAGGTGGTTTGGTAAGCACATCTCTGTGGACACATACATGTGGGTTGTGAAGATCAGAGGTGGGTGTGGCTATGGAAACCAATTGTAAGGCACCAGTGTTCCTGGAGGAAGTGATGTGACCTTGTGTTCTCTCACTAGTCCTTCTCATGACTCTGAGAAGTAAAGATCCTGATCCCTCAGCCAAGGCCAGAAGTTGAGCCAGTCCCATAAACAGGGTCAAAAGAAAGAAGGGAGCCAGGTGCCGGTGGCTCCTGCCTGTAATTCTAGCTACTCAGGAGGCAGAGATCAGGAGGATCACGGTTCAAAATCAACCCTGGGCAAATAGTCCATGAGACCCTATCTTGAAAAAAAACCATCACTAAAAAATAAAAAAAAAGGCTGGTGGAGTGGCTCAAGGTGTAGGCCCTGAGTTCAAACCCCTGTACCACAAAAAAAGAAGAAGAAAAGGAGAAGGAGAAGAAGAAAGGAGGCAACACCAGAGAGAATAAATAAAAGAATCAGTGGAATGTTCTTAACAGCCCCCCACCAGCATTTTTGCCTCTTCCCATGGCCCCATTCTAATCCAGGCCTCTCCCTTCATGGAAGGCAACCCAATGCAGGGAGCAGAACATAGGCTTTTGGAGTCATGTAGTCCTGGCTCTCTATTGTGGCTGTGCCACTAACAAGCTGTGTGACCTTTGGCAAGTCACATAACTGTTCTGAGCTCCAGTTTGTTCATCTGAAAATTAGGAATCATGATATCCTTCTACAGCCATGAGGATACTATATATAAATACAAGGCGTTTGCATGAACCTAATGGTACAGAAAAGTAGACCATTGCAAGAGGCACAGGCCCTGCAAACAGTAGTCAATCACGAGAGAGTCAATCACGAGAGAGTTTGTTTGCTCTGTAGCACAGATACTTTCAGATTCCGAGCCTCAGACTGAAGAAATAGGGAGGCAGGCCCAAGAGAAGTGACTCACCAAGGTCACACAGAAAACCACAACAGAGATGGAGTTCAAGGACAGGTCTGTGACATCTCATCTAGAGAGGATGTTATAGATCATCTAGTCAACCCTCGTGGGCTCAGAGGTTGGTGATCACCTCAGCTGTAAGGAACTAGGAAATCATAGGTTTCTGCTGCTGTTCACACCTGAGAAATTAAGCCCAAGGCTTAATTTAACTTAACTTGCTGAGAGCATCCTGGGAAACTGGAAGAGAGCCACACCTAGAACCCTCTAGAAGAGAGGGTGAAGACATTGCAGGCCAGGCCCTACTTGGCAGAGTCAGCCCTGCTGTCCTGGGGCCCAACTCTGACCATAGGCAGGGGGAGTTTAAACAACATCAGATTAATCCATTCACTACTGTCTGGCCCTGTCTCTGTAGCCCAGGCCTGATGCTATCATTCACTCATTCATTCTGCAATTACAGGTGTCTCCAGAATGCCCAGGGAGCAGCAGAAGGCACAGAAACAAAATGGGTTTGTTCCCTCCTCTCAAGGACAGCAGTGGCCACTGGGGGAACCAGAAATGGGCCACTGTCACTATCAAGAACCATTACTTTAACAAGAAGCTTGGGAGGGTGTGGAATCCCAGAGAAAGGTCACCCAATTCAGTTAGGGTCAAAACATCCTGGATCCCAGATGGTCCCTTCCCAACTCAAGCCCTTTCATTTTCATTCAAGTCCCCACCCACCCTGTCCACACTGCTGTGCTCTTTGCAGGGTAGACACTGGCTAGGGTTAGGCGCAGTAAAAACTCTTACGGTACAGCTGCAGAGGACACACTGGTTGGGCAGGCGGCCAGGGAACAGTTCATGGGCACTGAAGATCTCCCCGTGTTGGTACGTGGTCCCATTGTGTTGGCAGGATTTGGGAGGGGCCCGGAGCCCAGAGGGGGTATGAGGTTCTGCAGGTAGGGATGAGCAGGAGAAAGAAGAAAATGAGGTTTCATGTGGATCTAAGATCTTCCCCAGAATTAAGTAGGCCACTTTTCTAAAAGTTTTGCATTTTGTCCCTTCTTCGAATTTAAACTAAACTGGGCTGAGTGTGTGGTGAAAGCTGTAATCCTAGCTATTTGAGAGGCAGAGGTAGGAGGATCACCGTCCAAGGCTGGTCTTGGGCAAAAACATGAAACCCTATCTGAAAAATAAAAACTAAAGTAAAAAGAACTGGGGTCATGGCTCAAGTAGTACCAGCCTAGCAAGCTCAAGGACCTGAGTTCAAACCCCAGTACTGCCAAAACAAACAAATTAGCTAACTAACTAACTGACTGACTAACTAACTAAGCTCTGGCCTTCCCAGTCATTCCCCACATCAGCTAACCAAGAGCTGATGCTTATAGCTGACTATGACACTCCCTCTTATGGACCTCCACCATAGTCCTGCAGCCCTTCGGTGTCTGAGGTCCACGGGGTACCAGACACCATTCTAAGCACCAAGGCACACAGCAGGAAAAAGCAGAGACCCTACCCTCTTGATATTACTCTCTTCACTGTCCCTATGCTTGGTGTAAACTCCTATCATTCATTGACCACTAAGCCCCTTCCCCATCGCCTGCCAGTGAGTCAGTCCTCACCTGCTGGAGAGAGGGGTTGAGCCCCTGCCCCTGAGACAACCCTCTCACTTTTTCACTTCTTTACTACCCACCTTCCCTGGGCTAAGCCCTGTGCTGGGCACTGGGAATAGAGTGAGGACGATGACTCAGCCCCTGCCATGGAGAAGCTCGCAATCCGATTTGGTAGAGAGCATTAGCACTGCAATATGGTAAGGGCCAGGGCAATGGAAAGCCACAAGTTTGGGCAGCCCAGAGGAGGAGCCCTTCACTCAGCCAGGGAAGGCTTCCTGAAGGGCTGAAGGCTAAGCAGAATATTGAAAAACAAGTAGAGTCATGCAAACAGGCAGGTCATGGAAAGTCAGAGAGAGTGAAGAGCATTTGAGGAAGAAGGGGCCTAGGTCAAAGCACAGGGGGAAATCCCTAATCAGTCAGGAGAGGTAAGAACCCCTGGACTCAGCCACAGCCATGGAGGAGACTGGGCAGCATGAAGCTGAGAGCCTCTGCTCTTTGTGGTTTCTGAGCCATGGTCAGATCCCTGCTGAGCTCCCACTTAGAAAGTGGGCCTCTCTCCACATGTATTCCAAGCTCTCCAGGACCCCTACTGCCAGAGCCCACAGCTGAGACCAAAATCAGAAGCCCCTTCCTCATCACCTTCTTGATGCTTCTGAACATCGACTTTCTCTCAGCCTCTCCCCCCTTCTAAGTTGGCTCCCCACTGGCTGCCCCTCACAAGCCACCCAGTCATGCCAATATCTTCTCGGGCCATCTCTCCTCTCGCTCACCTCTACTTTCTAGAATCCCACTCTTAGAGGCTCTGAAGATCATGGAGTCACAGGTGGTTAGCATTAAGACACAGTGTCCCTAAATTTTAGCACTGGGGGGACTCAGAGTTCATGTCTGATCTCCTTGGTCACTCCCAGCCCCAGAGGGTAACTTTGGAGTCTCTCCTACAGGCCTGTGATGGTTTAGATATGGTTTGAGGGTGACCTCAGAGATTCAGGTGCTGGAAGCTTGGTCCCCAGTGTGATGCTCTTGGAAAATGATGTGACCTAAGGTAGGAGGCGGGGCTGGGTCACTGGAGACTCTGCCCTGGGAAGGGAATATCATAGTTCTCCCAGGATTCTAGTTCCCGCAGATGAGTTGTTAGAAAGCAAATCCTCCTCATGCTTTTGCCTCTGCATGCAGCCAATTCCCTGTCCATTTCTCTGGCATGTGTGACCCCGCTATGGGGAAATCTACCAGAGGATGAACTGATGAGGCCACCAGATCTTAGACTTTCAACCACTAAACTGAACTAAATAATTCTTTCAAAAAAATAAATAATAAAAGTACCTGGCTTCAGGTATTTTATAATAGCAACAGAAAATAGACTAATACTGGGACCTTCTAGTCCAAGATTACTTACCTTCAGTTTCTGGAGTGTGTCCACTGCCCCCACCTCTGGCCAATCAGAGAGAAATTGGAGCCCAGATGTGCCAGTCAACAGGCCAAACAAGCCCCTGTATCCTTCAGCTAGTTTCTGCTTTTCCTGCCTCTTCTTGTCATATACTCTGACTTAAGAACCAGAAGTTTGCTGTTACTCCAGCCCTGCTTGGGGATCCAGGGCATGTCCTCCTCTGAGCATCTCTGGGCTTAAGACTTCTGATGGGGGCGGGAGAAATGACCCAAGGATTGTATGCACATATGAATAATAAAAAAATTAATAAATTAAATTTTAAAAAAGACTTCTGATGGGTAGAGGCTGCCCCTCTCCTTCCAGAGGCTTCACTGAGCCAGGAGCTTGCATGGAGTGAGATGAAGGTCAGTGGGCCATGGAGAGATGAGTGCAAAGAGTGGAACAAGATTACTTACCCACACACCTGGGACAGCATTGCTGTGGCTCCGTCACGGGCTGTGGGCAGTGGACAGGTGGGCAGTGGAGACGGTAACAACTCACTTGGGCAGTCTGAAGGGGACACAAGGGTCAGCCCTGGTTCCAAAGAACCACTGTCTGCCACCTACACAGCTCTTCTCCCAAAATCTCCACCCCAACTACAGAATTCCACCTTGCCTTAAGCCTGTGATGGAATTTAAACAACAAAGTCACACTGTTGGGGTGGCTCAAGTGCCTGTCTAGCAAGCACTAGTTCAAGCCCCAGTACTACCAAAAAAAGAAACAACAAACCAAAAACAACAACAAAAAACTCTCAAATGAGTCCAGTTCCTCTCTTAGCCAATTCATCCAGTCCCCCTATCCTAGGGGGAGGGCAGGCCAGTTCATGGGTTAGCTTAGGTGTTGCACCTTCTTCATGGGGTGTGAGAAATACAACTACATGCCTGAGTTATTTTGGCATTGATCTTGGTGCTTTGACTATGCTGTTTTAACTCTAGGACTTCATTCTTTCAACACTAAGCCTGACCCTTCTGGTCAAGGGAGGAATATGAGAGCAGGTGACTAGGATGGGACAAGACTAAAACTCTGATGTGAAGAACACTCGGGGCTTTGTGGTCCCATGCCCTAAATCTCCAGGAGGTCTGGATTACCCTGGACAGAGCCTTTGGAGTTGACACTGGAGAAGAAGGAGCCTAAAGTTCTTTTGATCTTTCAAGTAGAACAAGTAGGAGAGAATGGGGCAGAGAAACATCCACAGAGATGAGCAGAACAGTGAGAGAGGCCACTGCCCCTTTCAGTGGTTTTCACCAGGCAGCCTCAAGCCCCTCCTCAGCCTCCTTACACCTTGCTCTTCTTGTTACAGGTTCACTGCACCCGATGGCAACCAGCCATTGACATCTGTCTCACTTATTTGATCATGAACTCCAAAGGAATTGTCAGCCCAGGCCTGGCCCTAAGTGAGTGCTGGACTACAAATGAATGAGTGAGTGAGGAATGAGAGGCAGGAGAGGAGCATGGCAGGTCTCTTAGATAAATGGAACCAGCTTTGTTCAAAACTCTGAAATTAGCTAAGTTTGTTTCCAGTCCCCTGAGCCTCTCCCTGCCCTCTGCCTAGCAGAGGTCCCAGACAGCACTTCTTGCAGAGGCAGTCTCGGTCGAATGGAAGACTAGACTGCCATAGCCCCACTGAGGTCACTACTACACAAGACAGCCAGAGATAACTGCAAGGACCAATCAGTGCTAGAGACATCCCCAAGTCCACAGAACTGGTCTGAACAGGCACCTTCTTTTTTTTTTTTTTTTTTTTTTTTGGTGGCACTGGGGTTTAAACTCAGGGTTTCACTCTTACTAGGCAGGCGCTCTATCACTTGAGCCACTCCACCAGCCCAACAGGGGCCTTCTAGAGGCCCAGCTCACATGGGAGCTCCATCAATGTTGAGGGTAAACTGAGGCCCTTAGATGAGAAAGTAGATGGAGTGGGAAAGGCTGCGTGGCCTAAAGACTCTTGACTCTGGCCTTGGAAGTGATGGGCAAGAAATCAGGTAGAGACAGGCTGGGGTGGAAAGAGTGGAGGCCAGGCTGTGATAGAACGTGGGCAAAGGGAACCTCCCGGGAAAGTCATTGCCACCACTTATGGAGGCAGGGGCTTTACATTCTGTATTCCTAAATGATCTCACTTCATATTCTCAACAACAATCCGAGAAGAGGCACTACCACTCACACTTCAGAAATGAGAAAAAGTGTCCCAGAGGTTAACTGCCTAAGATCACAATGCAGATAAAAAAGGCCACCAAGGCCTGTACACTGCCCAGGAAGCTGAGCTGCCTCTGATGGATGGGGAGGGGACTCTGTCCCTCACTCATTATGCACTGACAATCTACTGGGTCCTAGGAACACAGCAAGGAGCGAGTCTGACAAGGTTTCTGTTCTCACGGAGCTACAGCCTGGTGGCCGGAGATAGACCATAAAAAAGTAAGCAAGCAGGAAGAAGACAATTTCTAATATTAAGTTTATGACAATAATAAAACAGGGTAATGTGATTAGACTAACAGGGTCAGCTGTTTTCTGTGTACTGGGATTTGAACTCAGGACCTCCACCTTGCTAGGCAAGCGCTCTACCTTTTCAGCCATGTGTCCAATCCTTTTGCTTTTAGTTTGTTTTTCAGATAGAGTCTTGCACTTTTGCCCAGGTTGACTTTGGATGGTCAACCTGGGCAAACTTTGGATCCCAAGTTGGGGGGATTATAGGTATGCATCTCCACACCCTGCCCGGGATCAACTGTTTTAGAAACAGCCATCAGGGAAGGTTTGCCAAGAAGGTAACATTCGCATTGTGGACTGGGAAAGGAAGATTTTCCATTCATGAGAAGATCTGGGGAAGAGCGTTCCAGCAGAAGGAATGGGTGAGAAGGTTTCAAATGTTGGAAGAAGCTACAGAAGGCCCGTTAAGGCTGCAGTGGAATGAACAGATAGGACATAAAGTTAGAGAACAAGGCAGGTGTTAGAGCACATAGAAACCCTGCAGGGAATTTGAATGCTACACTAGGTGAAATGAAAAGTCATTGGAGGATTTTAAGAGTGGAATGACAGGATCAGTTTTATGTTCAGAAAAGATCATTCCAGCTGAGGTGGAACAAGGAGACCTGTTAGAGGCTCCTTTTGCAGCCCAGGTGAGAGATGAATGTGGCTTAGGGGGAGGGGAGATGGGGGAGAGACTCAGCATATACCTTGGAAATATGGGCCACAGTCCTTTGGAGTGAGAAAACTATGTGTGTGAACTCTGGGAAAGGAAAAATGACTTATCTCCAATGCATCACAAAACTTGGTCTTTGTCAATGGACCACATGATATGTCTGGAATTTTCTGTTATCCTTTCCTTTCTGTTCTCTAACTATATGTCTTAAAGTTCTTATTGAAAAGGCTGGTTGGCCTCAGATGTGCTAAGGAAAATCAAGGGGATGCAGCCATTGGAGTAGGGAGCAGGAGGGTGTTATATCCTGTTTGTGTCAGAGTTCTACTTGAGGCCAACACAGTGGAAGCAGTGGGGAATCAAAGAGAGGAAAAGAACCCAGAGAGAGCCCCAGTATCAGAGCCATGAGAGGGGCTGGCCCACCCACTTTCTTCCCCACTTTTGGTCTCTGCCCCCACCTCAGAGAGTTCTGTCTTAATTAGGGAGGCTCTTGTACCCCTCCCTTCTTCTCTTGGTCTGTGAGGGAAAGAGGGAGCTAAGGGGCTCCAGTTGGGAGCTTCCTGCAACACCAGTATCCAGACAAAGAGAGCTGGGGACATCCGAACTGGTCCCCATCAGCTGAGCTGAAGCCAAGGGTTTCTCAAGCCTCTTAAGCTCCTCCCTCCTCTCTTGCCCTTCTGACCTCTCACCTCACCAGAGAATTCTGGAACACACAGGGTCTCATTTAATCGGCTTAGCTGATTGTGCAAGACCCTGTGGAAGTACTGGCTTGGTGCTATGGCTTGGATGTTGAATGTCTCCCAAAGGCCCATGTGTTAAAGTCCTGGTCCCCAGGGAGCAACTGTGAACCTTTGGAAGGTGGAGTCTTTCTGGAGGTTCTTAGGTCATTGGGGGTGTGTCTTTGAAAGGTTTTGTGACACTCTGGTCTCTTCCCCCTCCTCTCTCTCTTTTGCTTCCTGGCCATGAGGTGAGCAGTTTTGTTCTGCAACTTGTACCCACTATGATCTGATGCCTTGCCACAGACCCAAAAAGATCATGGACTAGAGCCTCCAAAACTGTAAGCCAAAATAAACCTTTTCTTTTTATAAGTTGATTATCTCTGGTGTTTCATCAGAGTGATGAAAGCTAACTAACACAGTTGGGTGGGGTGGGAGCAACAGAAGTAAAATCAAAGACATGGTACCTGCCCTAGCTGGTTCAGCCTTTGGCAGGGCATCACCCTATGCATGACTGAGACCTGTTCTCAGGGGCAATAGCTGACATGCAAATAATCATGGACAGAGGAGAATGGAACAGAAGAAACCACTTCCAGGAGGGGATCATTTGCCCATTTGGGCAAAGCCTCAAAGAACAAATTTCTGGGATGGTCAAGTTGGGGGAACAAATTCTGAGGCAAGGCAGGACAGTGACCCAGAGAGAAGGAAGGAATGGGAGGGAAGGCCAGAGAGGCTCTTGACTGGATGGTGGGAGGCAGGCAGTCTGGCACCAGCACCAGCTAGAAAGAAAACTGGGATAAGAGATGGGAGAGCCAGGTCTTCAGCCAGGCCAGACACTGAGTCACTGTAGGACTTGTCTCTGGGAGGGATAGGGAGTCTGTACATCTACAAAGTGAGGTGGCTTGCCCCAAGCCCCACAGCTCACACTGACAGCACCATTCTAGGGAGCCTAGTTCAGGGTAGGGTACCCCTGACCTCTAGAGTCAGGTTGTCTTCCTGCTCCGTGGGGTGACTTCTCTGGAGGTCTCCCAGATATATCTGATGAAGGTGGCCTGGTGACCAGAGGTACCTACCTCTGAGCAGGTACAGCGTAGGCAGTACATCAGACCTTGTGGCTCCAAGTAGGGGTGCCAACTCTCACCGGGGGAGTATCTCTTCCCGTGGAAAAGGCAGAACATGTCTGGGCCTGGCAAACCAACAAGTACTGTTAGTCACAGGAGACTCCCATCCAAAGACTCCTTTTTGACTCTAAGAAGAATGTCATCTGAACCATCATTCAGGTGGTCTCTTTTCTTCGAGCAAAATGAGAAACCACTGGACATGCACTCTTAGTTAACAAACCTGAGTTTGAATTCAGGGATCTGAGTTTGAATCTCGGCTCAACCACACACTGTGTGGCGTTTGGCAAGTTGCTGCCCCTCTCTGAACCTTAGCACTTATCTCATAGGGAAGTTAGGGGATCAACAGTAAAGATGCTTTCCATATTAAAGTCGTGGTATGAATGTTAGTTATTAGGATTAAATGGATAGTATGAGGCCCAGCAAGAATAAATTACACTCGTAAGACCATGCCAGCTCAGTCACCAAGCAGGGATGACAGTCGGAGTCTTCTCTCAGCCCAGTGCTCCTTTTGCCCTCATAACCACACTTGTTCCTTTTCCTTTGTCTCATTTTCTGTCCCTCCTCTCTCTAGGTCCTGTAATCTTTTTTTGTTGGTGTTGTTATTTTGTACTGGGAATTGAACCCAGGGCCTCACACTTGCTAGGCTATACCTTCAGGGCTTTTGTTTTGTTTTTGAGACAGTTTCACTACCTTTGCCTAGGCTTGCCTTGCATCTGTCTGCCTCTGCATCTGAGTAGCTGAGATTCTATGTGTGCCACCATGTCTGACTAGTGACCTACCTTGTGAGTAAAGTGACTCTCAGTACTTTCCTGCTTTCATATTGTGCTGCCTTCCTGTGTCTCAGCCCTGATGGACAGGTGATTAGGAAACTGACTTCTCCATGTCCTTAAAAAGATCTTTGCACACTGGACACCAGTGGCTCATGCCTGTATTCCTAGCTACTTGGGAGGCTGAGATAGGGTGGATCTTGATTCCAGGCCAACCTAGACAAATAGTTGGAGATCCCTTCTCCAAAAAAATCCAGAGCAAAATGGACTGGAGGTGTGTCTCAAGCAGTTCAGTGCCTGATTTGTGAACACCTGCTTTATAAGTGCAAAGTTCTGAATTCAAATTCCAGTCCCACCAAAAAAGAAAATAATAATAGGGATCTTTGCTACCACTCTTGAGTTGTGGTTGGCAGTCAACTGACCTTTCAGTAATCTGCATATCAGTTGTTGGTAGGTAAGTGAGTGCTTCTAAGAGTGATTAAAATACTAGTTTGTTTCACTAGGTGAGTTTGATACCTTGCTGCTTCTCCTGCCTTCCTAAAACTTCCATTTTCCTTTCCTCTCTCATAATCAATCCACTCTTGCCCTCTCCAGCACCCATTCCCCATTTGGCCCTGGGTTGGGCTTCCAGGTCCAGCAGTGCAGCCTGTGCCCGGCACTTTGCCTCCTGCCCTCTCCCCATACAACCCTCCTCCTGGTTGATGGTCTCCATCCAGAAAGGACACCATATTTCTGTGGGAAAACTTTCCATTACCTGAGATCTTTTTGGCAGGAGCTGGGAGGCCCAGCCCAAGCTAAGTGCCAACAAAGGTTTGCTGAATTAAATGAGACTGAAATAGAGGAAAGGAACCTACATTTATTGATACTCTTCTCTGTGCTGAACTTTTTATATAAGTTATTTAATGATCTCCTAACCATTGTTGTTTTGAGAATTAAATGGAATAATGATTGTAAAGTGCTCACTGGGCCCAGCTGCTGAGACTGGCTAAATATTGTTGTTATGATAATAACGGTAATAAGATCGAATGTCACAAAGATTGAAATAGTTTCCAATCTGGATTATATAATATCTATCCTGCAGTGGCTTTGCAACTGTTATCATAATTATGAGAAAACCAGATAAGAAAAGAAAGGCTCTCAGAAGACTGAGTGATTTGAACCTAGGACTCCAGTTTCCAAAGAAGAGCTCCTTTGGGTTTGCTCCATCACTTATGGCTTTTAACTCACACTCAGGCCTACAGGCTCTACTTCCTTCTCTCTCTGCTCCACCAGCAGCCACTTCTCATTCCTCACTTTTTTCTCCTAGACCACAATTGGTCTAGAAGTTGCTTTTTGTACCCCACTCCCACTTTTCAATCAAGCATCTTCCCCAATTTCCGAATCACATCTCTTAGCCTTTCAGCCTCCTAGTATGACAGAGCGCTGATAGCAGTTCTGTAGTTGGGGTGGGGTGGGGTGAAGTGGAGCCACAGGCAATGCAGGTATTCCCTCTTAGCCTTGCAATGGGCTGAAGTGTGGCCCCTGGCAGCACCTCCAGGGAGCAGGAGCTCACAGGCCATTCCTTCCTAACCTTTAGGAAATTTCTTTGAAAGACATTGAAATTAACCTCCCTCTGGCTCCTCATACCACTTTTTCTCTACTTTCTTGGGCGTCCCAAGACGAAGATTCAAGGCCATTGTCAGAATGCCTCTGTCTGTGCTTCCACGGACCATAGATGCACACAGTTTGGTAACCTCCCTGTCCCCTTCCCCACTCCCTGCAGTGAAGGATGTGACCAGACAGCAGATCCTGTCCCTAGGAGCCAGCAAGGTCCGGCTGGCCCATGTCAAATGAGCCCTGTTTATCTCTCAGCCTCCACTGGCAGAGGGTAGAACACAGGCCCAGCTGGGGTGCTGGTCAGAGCCAGCCCAACTCTCTGAGGAGTGAATAATGTCTTTCTTCCTCAGTCCCCTTCCCCCACAGGGGAGAGGGTGATTGCGACACTGTGGGCACCTTAGTTCTCAGCCAGTTGTAGAAGAAACCCTGTCCTGCCTTCCTTGGGGCAGCCCTGCAGCTACTGGCCTCTGTGCCAGTTGGCACCCCCTCTGCTCCCCACCTCTCAGAGCGTGAAGACCGGAGCGTCTCAGCCAGTGCCTGGGCCAGAAGGTCCCAGCCCCTACCAACAGACCTGGCAGAGGCTGACACTGTGGGAGGCCTGGCAGGAGGCCTCCTGTGGCCACAGTTCCCACCCCACCCCACCCTCTAAGGTGAGAGGCACAAGGAGGGGTGGCAGTGCCTGGAGTTCCTCTTCCTCTAGGGAGCTGATTGCCTAAGGCCATGCCAAAAGTAGCGGGTGGAGGACCTGCTGGGCCACCTTGGCACCACCTCCAGCCTTTGCAATGAGGCTGGTAGAAGGGGCGCTCCTGATTCTTAAGCTGCAAATATACCTTGTGACGTTCAGGAAGTCACTTCCCTTCTCTGAACCTCAGTTTCCCAACTGCAAAATAAGAGGACAGAGTAAGCTATGATCTTCAAAGAATTCCTGTTTAGGATGAAAATTGGATTCTAAGACTCTGAAGTTCTAGGTTTCAAAGATTCAAGATTTAAGAATTTCAGCCTGGTATAGTGGCACACATCTGTAATCCCAGCTACTCTGGAGGTGGAGGGAGGAGTTTGAGACCAGCATGGGCAAAGTCAGTAAGACTCAATCTTACTGCAAACCCCAACAAGAAGGCTGGGGGTGTGGCTCAAATGGTGGAGCACCTGCCTAGCAGGTTCAGTCCCTAGCATTCCAAAGGTGGTCAGGGGTGGGGGGGGCGGGTAAGATTTGAGAATTCCATGTTTCTAAGAGCCTTGAAGTTTCTAGAAGCTTCTATGTTGTAGTTCTAAAATTGATCATTCCAAGACTCCATGATTCTTAAGGGCATTGTGTGTCAGTCTCCCAGGGCGTCCAAGGTGGGTCAGGGTAAGGTTCTGAGAACCACCGGGGCCAATTCTGAGTGGAATTGTAAAGGAGGAAAAGTTTGTCTCTCACATCTCCCTCCCTTCGTATACATCCCTTTGTTCTCCCTTCTCCCTCCTATCCTGGCCCTGAACCTGACCTGCTTTCTTTCTCCCCTACCACCATTTCTCATCTCACCCACCTGAGCCCAGGTCTCTCTCCAACTCAGGGGCCAACCACATCATCTCTCAAACCTTCTAGAGCCACAGAGGGAAGGGTTCAAATCATGGGATTAGCATTCATCCACAGCCTGGGTTCAGACAAGCTATTTAACCATCCCAGGACTGTTTCCACCTCTATAACCTCTACCTCTTGAGGTTATTGTAGAATTAAATCAGATAATATACATAATGCATGTGCCTAGTGTCTGACACACATCAGGTACTCACTTACCTAGTAGGTAAGAACAGACATACAAAAACTAGATGTGGGTGCTGACCCCAAAGTTCCCTTAATAGTTTATTTCTCATGGTATTATTTTACTCCCAGAGTTCTATGGGGCAGCCCCCCAGGCACCTATTAGAGGATGAACATCATAGTACCCACAGAGGTCAAAACTCTCAGGTTTCCTCTTTCCTGAGGCCCTGTGTACTCTTCTAGCCCCATCCACAAGCCAGACCATCTCCCTCAATACCAGTTTGTACCCATACAGACCTTAGGCTGGAATGCAGGGATGAAAGTGGCTCAGAAGTTTGAAGCAGAGCAGGGAAAGCAGGAGTAAGAGCCAAGAGTTTGGGCTTCAGAGACAGGCAAAGGCTCACGAAGGGCCTTGAGAGCCTGGAGGGCAAAGGAAAGCTGTGGAAAAGCCTTTGGTGGGGGGACATGATGACATTTTAGAAGTGTCACTCTGGCCACAGGAGTGGAGAGCTGAATGGAGGGCAGAGACCAGGGAGAGACTACTGCAGTCACCCTGTTGAGATAACGCTCCACTGGAACCTAGGGCCTGGACCAAGACAGAAGCAGTGTGAATGGGGAAAATGCAGATTTGAGGAACCGCACAAAATTGTAGGCACTGAGGGTGGGCTGAGGGACAGACTGGACAGGATATGGGTGGAGACAGTGAAGGAGCAGGATAGGATGGCAGTTTGGGGCCGGAAGGGATAAGTGAATGTGATGGCAAGGTGGCACAGAGCCACCTCTTTTGCAAACAGCTGCAGCCCCATCATGGCAGCCTGCAGCTTTAGGCAATATGAAAGTTGGCAGAGACAAGGATGGCAGCAAGGTGACCAAGTGGTGGCTGCTCCTGGGCAGGGTGGAGAAAAAAATATATATGTAGGTGAAAGCTGGGCATGGTGGTTCACAGCTGTAATCCCAACAC